ATAGGAGGAAAATAAAACGGGGAGATCATTAAGAAGTTTTATTATCAAACACGGTAAAATAAGCAGAAAACTGTTAGTGATGAATATGTGAAGTATAAGAAACCATAGCTTTAATTCGACAAGACTGTTGTAAAAAAAAGGAAAACTGTTAATTTCTGACTGTTAATTTTAAATAATCAGAGCACAATATCAAGCAAGCTTTCGTTGTGTTAACAATACATTTTCTCTTGACTTTGTATGAAGATGAGCGCGTATTTCTTCCGTTGTCTTACTACGAAACATATTACATGTTTGAATTGGAGTACTTTGAAAAATAAATTATAGAGTTTTAGAACACCAACAAAGGATCGTGACCGCACTAACTATCAAAGTAGATATACTCACGCATTTTAAGGGAAATTACGTCATCAATATTCTAAGAAAGGGCGTAAATAAAAAAGTAGGATGTCCTGTTACAAGTGTGTGTGACCTTACATCCACTCTGAGAATGATGTATTTGTTTGAATATAAGTTCTCTGTTATTCCAGATACTGTATATGTATATTTACGATTAATAAGATCGTAGTGTTTATATTGAAAAAAAGAAAAACGCGTTCCTTAACTTTGATTTCAATACTGGCCTAAGTCATACATGCATACATAGTCGCTTTGTAAATGTTCATGTAAAAAATCATATGTTGAACTATGCGAAGAACAGATGTTTACAGACTTTACATCTGTATGTCATCATCTGGTGAGTGAACGTATTCTTTTTAGATAATTGGTTGTGGTATAAACGCAGAGTTAAAATGTTTATGTAGGCGCGTCTGGCACCAATTGACTCATTATAAGTTGTGTATGTTAGTTTCTTAAAGTATTTTGAAACTATTGAACTTCTCGTGAGAAAACTTTGGTGTAAAATTTTGAAATATTACTTTCATATCGTAAAAAATGCTGTAGTTTTTACTTGAAAGTTTCGACACATCTGTTGAATGTTCTCGTAATTAAGTGGAATGTCAAGGTAATAAAAGATTATTGATCACTAACCTGAGGTGGTGTCTTTGACAAGTATTTGCATTTGGCCTTTTCAATGTGAATGGCACTTTATATGAATCACATGGACTAAACGGGCAGATGAAAGACACCAAAAGTTCAGACATAGCTGTCTTTAATTTAGAAATACTGACCATAGGGAGGGCAACTAACCATCAGTACCAACCGCCTACGTGGCTGCTCTTAAGTAAATATCGGGATTGACTGTTACAATTTTAACGCTTCCACATTTGGAAATGCGGAGCTTGTTCAGTGGCATATCGCGGGCTCAAACCTTGGACCTTCCAAGCTGCTAACTGACCGGGTAACCACTATGACACACTTCACCTTATCTGTTACAAATGATATCAACGTTTGATATCATATATAAATAGACTGAATACTTTGAGAAGTAAAGTTAAATACGAGTTTGATATTAGAAGAAAAAATCTCACATTTCAATAGCAACTCCAAAACAATCGCTAATGTTTGGGAATAAAATTCTAGTTAAACTGCTTTCAAAATTGTCCCCTGGTGGGACAGCGATAAGTTTACGAATTCACAACGCTGAAATCCGGGGTTCGATTGCCACGGCGACACATAGTAGACAGCCCAATGTGGCCTTGCTCTAAAACAAACAAATAAGCTTTTAAAATTTACGTTTTAAATAAAGCGACCTCTGGGAAGCATTTCTTACATTAACAGTTGGTACTCGTAACAGCTTAAATAATCTTGCATATCGATAGCAGAATGTTATATTCTCTCTGTCCTTGTATCGGCGGGAGTGTGCAAATTTGCGGTAAATCTAACATCCTGTGAACAGTGGCCACGTAATCGTACACACACACAATTCCTTTTGACGCAATGAAATCGTTTTACAAAGCAGGAATTAAAAGCGTTATAATTAAGGTAGTTTGGTCACTTCCTGAAGACAGAATATCTACAATGAGTGTTATCGCACTCATCGCGGTACGCATCTCTGTCCTACTTTTCTTCTTTCACTTTCACGGTCAGGTTTTCGAACGCAGGTAAATTTTGAAGGTTTCCCGCACGGGGAGGTCACGTGGGGGTAAAAACCCAAGAGAAACTACGTCATGACCTGGTTTCTCGCTGGTTGGTGGCAGGTTATACTGCTTAAGGCTGAAAGTATAAACTAAATCCTTTCTAATCGTATGGTGATAAAAACTTTCACCTTCAGGGAGTTTTTTTTCTAAAGCGATTAATACAAAAATAATATGATTGGCCTACTGTTTGATTGTTCAAGGTTTGTCATGCAGGAAAGCCGTCCTTGCAGTTCCGAAAATATTCAAAATAAAGAATCGCCATCACTCAGCTCAGCAACCATCTTGTCACAGCTTTGAAACCCCCCCCCCTTCCACATGTAAACCGAAAGGTGTGTTTATTACTACGCATGTCGTAATACAGCTAATATACCTCTGTTATCGTATGATGAGAGAAATATAAGTACAACGTATACCGGATAATGTACCATTAGTAGACAGGACACTAAGCGTTATGGTTTAGCGTGATATCAGCTTAAGAGTTTCCTGTTCATTTATATCTCAACCTGTTATATTTTATCGACAGATATATCAATATCAGTATCGGAGGCGTGTTTTGTTACCGTTGATAATCGCTAGATCAATTCGGTGATGTGGGTGTACGGGACATAAGCGGAAACCCGTTCGTGCGTGCAAAATCATAGGATGCAAGATAGTTTGTCTTTCTCGGTTCATTCGTACATCAGCTGGTTTTCCGCTATTAGCTCTAAGTTTCAATGTGGACTTCGTAAACCGCGCATAGTTACTGTTAACACGATGACTGATTTAGTTTTATCTACTGTTGATACGAGAAAATTCTGATTTTAAAGTCGACTCGTGGAATTAGTCGTCAAGGGGGTGTGAATACGAGTCGGTGATTTTAAATAAACAAAGATAAGTGACCAACAGCTTATAATGGCAACTTACGCCTCGTGCATCTTTGCCTCGAGACCGCAACATGAGATCAACTATATGGAGTATCACGAACCGCTAATGGTGAGTTTTATTGTTTACATTCACGAACCGCTAATGGTGAGTTTCATTGTTTATATTCACGAACCGCTAATGGTGAGTTTCATTGTTTATATTCACGAACCGCTAATGGTGAGTTTTATTGTTTATATAACATTGTGTTGGTTTAACAAGAAAAATATCTAATTCGTTTTCTACCTTCAACAGGCTTGTAATTCTGTTTCAAACGTATGTATAAAGGGCACAGTTTATCCTTGCGCACGGTGGATGGTGGGGGATTAAGGTGTTGCTTACTAGCAGCCTAGGTTTAAATCAAACCAGAGTTGCTTGTTGAAAAGGGTGCTTTAAGACAAACCAAGTTAATCCGCTGATCAGCTATAATGCAGCGAGATACTTATGAATTTATTTTCATAATTGTATTTAAAACATCTGCTTGTATCCTGTCTATTAATGTAATAGTAGAACAATCTTGACTTATGCACCATAAAGTGGTGACAGGAAATAGTAAGATGCTTATTTATCCATACCACCTGATAATATTCACATTTAACACTTGTCGTTCCTTACCGTTAATTAATCCAATGTTTTCTTGTATAATTTATGTAGTTTATGGAGTGAAAACTTGGGAAGTCTTCACACTTTATCTTACTATCTCCTAAACTACAACCAATCAGTATAATGTAGAATATTATTAAGTTTGTTTTGAGCTCAAAGCTACATAATTAGCTAGTTGTGCTGTGCCCATCGCGGATTTCGACAACCGATTTTTAACACTGTAAGTCCGCAGATTTGTCGCTGAGTCACTGCTACTTCAGAGTTGATATCATTAAGAATTAATGAAGATCAATATATATCAAATTCAACAAACGATGCCACATCGTTTTGATCAACATTGATCAAATTCAACAAACGATGCCACATCGTTTTGATCAACATTGATCAAATTCAACAAACGATACCACATCGTTTTGATCAATATAGATCAAATTCAACAAACGATGCCACATCGTTTTGATCAACATTGATCCAATTCAACAAACGATACCACATCGTTTTGATCAACATTGATCCAATTTAACAAACGATGCCACATCGTTTTGATCAATATTGATCAAATTTAACAAACGATGCCACATCGTTTTGATCAATATTGATCAAATTTAACAAACGATGCCACATCGTTTTGATCAATATTGATCAAATTTAACAAACGATGCCACATCGTTTGGATCAATATATATCAAATTCAACAAACGATGCCACATCGTTTTGATCAATATTGATCCAATTTAACAAACGATGCCACATCGTTTTGATTAACATAGATCAAGTTCAACAAACGATACCACATCGTTTTGGTTTCTCATTAAAAGTGTTGATCGCATCCTAGAGGGCGCAGTTAACAAAAACATATAGTTTACGTGAATTATTTTATTTTCTTTTGAATTTTTTATATTTGACACATGGTCAGAGTTTCTACGTCTCCAATAGTATCATTTCATACCTCTTTTCTGTTTGTATCGTTCAAAATGTCCCAAGAATTGAAACATCTAGTCTATGGGATGCACTGAATTTTGTACAATTATTTTTGTTGTCTGGTGATAAATGTTCATCGTAGTCTAAATTACTTCAAAAGTAATCGTAAGGTTGAAAGATTTTCAATAAGAAAATGTAGAAACGATTAATAGTTGATAAGATTCTGTCTTTTATTGAACAAAAAGCAGCTGTTTTTTTTTTTTCAAACTTCTTAAGTCTATGTGCATTAGTTAGATAAAACGAATAATGAAAATTGCGTCTACAAGACGCGTCTACAGCTACAGTTTTGTTAAGTGTGTGTGTATCGTCTAGTTACCAAGCGACCAAAACATTAAAATTTTGTAATTTCATTACAGGTTTCGTTATTTGAACTATTCGTTAAATATTCTTTAAAACAGCTCCGCACCTTTTCAATCATTAATATATCATAAAAATCATTATATACTTGGATTCTGTATAGCTACACTGCCAAATTTCTTTTCTATACCAACACCACAGGAATCCAGCTACTAAGAATTACCCCACGGCTCCATTCAGCAAGAAACCCCACATCAACAGATAAAAAATCCATCTAATAAGATATACCACACGGCTCCATTCAGCAAGAAACCCCCACATCAACAGATAAAAATCCATCTAATAAGATATACCACACGGCTCCATTCAGCAAGAAACCCCCACATCAACAGATAAAAAATCCATCTAATAAGATATACCACACGGCTCCATTCAGCAAGAAACCCCCACATCAACAGATACAAAAATCCATCTATTAAGATATACCACACGGCTCCATTCAGCAAGAAACCACCACATCAACAGATAAAAAACTCCATCTATTAAGATATA